AAATCAATTCCAGGCGCTTTGGGTTGAGAGACAGAAAATCCGAGGCTTGGCAGTTTGAACTTGCTTCCTTTTCCTTCATGTTCAGTTCCTGTTGTTTTTACTTCAATGGATGGACCTTTTGTATCAATGCTTGGTGCTGCAATGCTAACTGCAAGAACCTCCTCAGGAACCTTAATGTCAGCTCCACCTATTTTGACATCTTTGTCCATATCAGGTCCTTCTGCTGTGACGCTTGGAGTACTAACTCCAAATTTTGGTAATTTGAATGTCGGCATCTTAAATTTTGATGGTGATCCATCTGTAGTCTTCGTCCCAACTTTTATCTCGGGGGCTTTGACTTCCACTTCAGCAGAAGGTTTGTCCAGTTTAACATCTGGGAGTTGGACTTCAGCTTTGGCCTCTGGCAGTGTCACATCTACGTCTTTCTTTGCTAAGCTTAGATCTATTTCCGGCCCTGTTAGCTTTGGCATTGTGATTCCAAAATTTGGGACTTTAAATTTGCTTTCTTGCTCATCAACCTCAAGTTCACATTCTGGTGGTTTCATATCCACTTTTCCTCCTTTCACTTCCACCTTTCCCTCTGGAATTGCAACATTCACATCCTGACAACTGACATCAACTTCGGGGGCTTTAATACTTGGCTTTGAGAAAGAAAACTTGGGCAGTGAAAACCTTCGCTTTTTCTGTTTTGCATCAACCTCTACACCCACTTCTGCTTCAATGCCACTCAGTGGCTCTTTGACTCCAGCGTCCGGCATTTGGACCTCCGCTTTAACTTCTGGTACATCAACATCTGTGTTTGGCACAGATATGTGCATGTCAGCTCCATCAATTTTGATTTCTTTTTCTGTATCAGGCACTTCAGCACCTACAGATGGTGTGGTGACACCGAATTTGGGAAATTTGAATGTTGGCAGTTTAAATTTTGATGGTGACCCTCTCACCTCGCCTAACTGAGCTTCAATCTCAGCAGCTTTGTAGTCCACCTTAGCCGAGGGTTCTTTTATGTCAGCACCAGGGATACTGACTTCAGCTTTGGCTTCTGGTAGTGTGACGTCAACATCTGTCTTCGATAAACTGAAATCAAATTCATGTCCTTTTACTTTTGGCAATGACACTCCAAACGATGGCATTTTGAACTTACTTCCTTGTCCGTCAAGTTCACCTTCTGCATGAGGTGGTTTGATTTCCAGTTCAGGTTTTTTAACCTCTATCCTTGCTTCTGGAATTGAAACATCTATGCTTCCGAGAGTAACATCAGTCTGAGGGGCTTCAGGGAGTTGTACCTCTGCGTTTGCATCTTTCTTTGACATGCTTGCATCAAATTCAGGGCCTTTTACTTTTGGCATTTTTATTCCAAACTTTGGCATCTTGAACTTGCTTCCTTGTCCATCAAGTTCACATTCAATATCAGGGGCCTCCTTGTGTTTAACATCTGCTTTAGCCTCTGGTAGTTTCACATGTACATCTTTCTTTGATAGGCTTAAATCAATTTCAGGCCCTTTTACTTTTGGCATTGTGATTCCAAACTTTGGCATTTTAAACTTTCCTCCTTGTCCTTCAAGTTCAACATCAGTCTGCAATGTTTTGATTTGCACTTCAGGTTTTTGAACTTCCACTGTTGCCTCTGGTATCAAAACTTCTGCTGTTCCAAGACTAACATCAAGTTTGGAGGATTCTGGGAATCTGACCTCAGCTTCAGTCTCTGGCAATGTGATATGTGTTTCTTTCTTTGGTAAGCTCCAATTTATATCAGGTCCTTTGACGTTAGGCAAAACGATACTTAAATTTGGCATTTTAAATGCTGATGATGATCCTTCTGTGTCTTTACCCATTACTTCAATGTCAGGAGCTTTAATTTCTACTTTTGTAGAAGGTGCTTCCAGTTCAACATCAGGGAGGTTGATGTCTGCTTTGACTTCTGGTGTTGTGACATCTACATCTTTCTTTGCATGTCCTAGATGAAATTCAGGTCCTTTTACTTTCAGCATTGACATTCCAAACTTTGGCATTTTGAACTTGCCTCCCTGTCCTTCAAGTTCAACATCAGTCTGCAAAGGTTTGATTTGCACTTCAGGTTCTTTAACTTTCACTTTTGCCTCTGGTATCAAAACGTCTTCTGTTCCAAGACTGATGTCAATTTTAGGAGCATCTGGGAGTTCAGTCTTAATTTTACTCTGTGCTTGGACATCTGTGTCTTTCTTTGATAAGCTGAAGTCAATTTCTGGCCCCTTTATTTTTGGAACTTTGATCCCAAACTTTGGAATGTTGAACTTTCCTCCTTGTCCATCAACTTGACCTTCAGTCTGCATTTCCAGTTTAGGTTTTTCGACCTCCAGCGTCATCTCTGGAATTGAAACATCCACTTCTCCCAGATTGACCTCTGGAAGTTTAACATCACCTGTTACCTCTGATAATTTGCCATCTACAGCTTTCTTTGACAAGCTGAAGTCATATTCAGGTCCCTTTACTTTTGGCATTTTCATTCCAAACTTTGGCATTTTAAACTTCCCACTCTGTTTGTCAATCTCTGCTTCATACTCTGGTGCTTCCACCTCTGCAGCTATTTTAGGGGCTTCTGGAAGTTTGACTTCAACTTTAGCCTCTGGAACTTTCATCTTAGCATCTGGACTTGAAACATGTACTTCTCCAAGATCGACCTCTGGAAGTTTGACATCTGCTTCAGCCTCAGGTAAAGTGATATCTGTGTGTTTCTTTGATAGGCTTAAGTCAATTTTGGGTCCTTTCACCTTTGGCATAGAGAAACCTAGATGTGGCATTTTAAACTTGCTTCCTTTTCCCTCATGCTCAGCTCCAATAGTTTTTATATCTAGTGAAGGTCCTTCTACATCGATGCTGGGTGCTACAATGTTAACTGAAGACCTCTCCTCTGGAATATTAACGCTAACTCCATCAATTTTGACATCTCTGTCCATATCAGGCATTTCCACAGATACGTTTGGAGTCCCAGCTTCAAATTTTGGTAGTTTAAATGATGGCATCTTAAATTTTGATGGTGACTGTTCAACATCCTTGTGAAGTGCAATTTCTGGAGCTTTGACCTCTACTTGAACACCGGGTTCAATAGGAAGATGTACTTCTGCTGTAGCTTTAGATAAAGCAACATCAGTGTCTTTTTTTGTTGAGCTGAAATCAATTTCAGGACCTTTCACTTTTGGCAGTGATATTCCAAATTTTGGCATTTTGAACTTGCTACCTTTTCCATCAAGTTCAGCTGCTGTTGCTTTCACATCAAGAGATGGGCCCACAATGTCAGTGTTTGGTGTAGTAATGTCGACTGCAACACCTTTTCCAGGTGACTTCAGCTGTGTTTCAGAAATTTCTGTATCTTTGATTTTACTAGAAACGTCAGCACTGATTCTTGGAGCAGAAGCTCCAAATTTGGGCATTTTGAAAGCTGGCATTTTGAATTTTGATGGTGATTCTCCTGCATCCTTTTCTCCAACTTCAATTTCAGGAGCTCTGATTTCGATTTTTGCAGAGGAGTCCTTTAGTTCAACATCAGGGAGCTTCCCCTTGGCCTCTGGTAGTGTGATGTCAACATCTTTCTTTGACAAGCTTACATCAAATTCAGGCCCTTTTACTTTTGGCATTGAAATTCCCAACTTTGGCATTTTGAATTTGCTTCCTTGTCCATCAATTTCACCTTCAATCTCCCGTGATTTGATTTCCAATTCTGTTTTTTGGACCTCTATCTTTTGTTCTGGAATAGAAACATCTATCCTTCCAAGAGTCACATCAGTCTCAGGAGCTGCTGGAAGGTGTACCTTAGCCTCTGGTAGTTTGACATCTGCATCTCTTTTTGACAAGCTTAAATCAAATTCTGGGCCTTTTATTTTTGGCATTTGGATTCCAAACTTGGGCATTTTGAACTTGCTTCCTTGTCCATCAAGTTCGTCTTCAATCTCCAGTGGTTTGACTTCCATTTCTGGTTTTTGGACCTCCATCCTTGGCTCTGGAATAGAAACTTCCATGCTTCCAAGACTAACATCAGTTTGATGGGCTTCTGGAAGTTTGATCTCAGCTTTAGCCTCTGTGTCTTTCTTTGACAAGCTTAAATCAACTTTCGGTCCTTTCACCTTTGGCATGGAGATGCCAAGATTTGGCACTTTGAACTTGTAACCTTTTCCCTCTCCTTCAAGAGTTTTTTTCTTGGCTCCATCAATGATTACATTCTTATCCCCATCAGATATATTTGCACGGATGTCTGAAGTAATCGCTCCAAATTTGGGCAGTTTGACTGTTTGCTCAGCTTCAACATCTTTTACATCATGTCTGATCTCTGGAAAGGAAATGTCAGCATTTGGTTTTGCTTCAAGATTAATATCAAAGCCTGTAAGCCGAATACCACCATCCGTTCTGGCAGGTGAACCTTCTGCTGAATCAATGTATTCAATGCCATCGATTTCAGGCATTTTGACATCGCATACGAATCCTCCAGTCTGTCGGTTGCCTTTCCTTGTTTCACTTTCTGATATTTTTTCTTCTTGGAGGACTGTAGTCTTTTCTTCTTTTACTGCATCACCTTTTTTCTCAGATATAATTTGTTTCGGCAAGTCAATTCCAAAGTCAGGGATTCTTATGTCTGGTTTTCCAATTCCAAAACTAGGCATTGTTATCTTTCCCTTTTTTGATTTCTTGTCGGATTCTTTTGTAGCTGCAGATTCATATTCCAGTTGAATAGCCTCCGGTACTTGTGTTTTACCAGATTCTTGTGCAAGGATGGATACTTTCGGTGCACTTTCTTTTCCAGGTATTACGATGTCTCTTTTGCATTCCTCAGTTTTGATGTCTTTGTCACTTTGTTTTGTCTTAGTTTTGTGTTCCTTTTGAGGCTTTTTTATATCTACCTTGGCCGCAACTAAAAGTTTCTCTGAGGTGAAATCAGCAGGTGTGATCTTCGGTAGTTTGACTGTAGTCTTGGAGATCTCTGGAGATGCAGTTATGTCAAACTGTGTGAAGTGCGCCTCGTGTTTTACTTTGCTATCAACCACTTTAGTAGGTGTTTTCACTGATATTCTTTGTGCATTTGCGTCTATCACAGTGATTTCCTCGGGAATAGGCACTCCAGACGTATCAACCTTAGGCAGCTTGAATCCAGGCAATTTTGAAACTGCCTCCTTCACACTGTCAACATCAATTGATAGTTGTACAGTTTCAGCTTGAATTTCTTCATGGTGTCCTGTAAAAACGGCTTTAGGAGCTTTAATTCCTTTGGCTGTGGTCTTCCTGGACATGTCCTCCATACCTGGAATCTCAATGTCTTCACGTTTGGGAAGTTGTGTTTTGGAAACACTGGTGTTTGACAGTATCTCATAAGGGTCTTCTTTGACTTCTGCACCTTTGGTTGTGAGCTGTTGAATTTTAGTCGTGCGTTCTTCAACATTAACGTTCACTTTCTGAATATTTTCCTCGGTGGAAATATCGCTCAAGCCTATTTTAGGCAGTTTGAATGTTGTACTCGACTTAGCTTCTTGTTTTTGTTTGACTTTGCCTTTCTGCGTTTTTTCTTCACCTTTCTTTGGAAATTTTTGTGTAAATGCAACATCTGATATTTCCAGTTCCACTTTTGGGACATTCATTTGTGTACTGGCATCAAGTGAAGGTTGATCTCCAGGTAGTTTTGTGTCTGACGCAGGTTTTTCATTTTCGGGTTGATCTGCAATTTCAAAACTCGCCCCCAGTGTTTTTAGCCTTCTTGGTGAGGATTTTGCTTTTGCTTCTTTCTTGTGGGATTTATCCTTCCCCAAAATTTTAATCTTTAATTCAGACTTTTCTTTCTTCTTTTTTTTCCCATCAGGAGACTTGATGGGACTTTGTTGATCTGTCAGCCCCACACTTAGATCTGCTGTTTTCAAAGTGCTGTCTATGCTGATGAGTTCCACTTTGTGCTGAGTAGTTTCAGTCAGTGTTGGGAAGTTTTGCTCCAGTCTTAACTCTTCCTTTACCTTCAGATCCTCTGTCACGTAGACTTGTGGTGTTTCTCCTGAGGGGCTTTCAAGGCACTCAGCTACAAGCATATCTAATTCTTGTGTCTGGTGAACGTCACTGCTTGTCTGGCCAGTTGTTGGCACATCTGTGTCCTGGTCTTCAGAAGAACTTATGCGGCTTCTCTTTGTCAAAGACAGCTTCATTTTATGCTTCTTTTTGCCTTTGAGAGCATCCTGAGATTTTATAGGTGACTCTGTGTCACTTGTTGTTGGGCTAAGCTCAAGCTTTCTCTGCTCATCGGCCTCTGAGGAACTGTGAGACCTTGCAAAACGTGATTTTCGCCCTTTCCCGAACGAGGGAAATTTGGGCCACGAAATGCGGGCGTCCCCTCGTCTTTTGGTTTTTCCTTGCTCCCTCATCTCTGGAGTGTTGAGATCTTCCTCCTGATGAGCAACAGAAACGTAAAATGTCAGTTTGAGCCACAGTACTACCTGTCAAAGAGAGTTCGAGCAGACAAACTATAAAAATAGTTACAGGGATGACATCAGATTCGATGATGGGTTCGGTCTCTGTGATGTCTGGTTTGCGCTTCAAGCAAAGCTTCAGTTTGTAAGCCTGAGCGTGCTCCAGAATCTGGATGGCATCCTCGTACGTCACGTTGTCGAAATATACGGTGGCACTCAGGATCTGATCACCTGCACAAACGAGAAAAAACTGTTCAGAAGCACTTAGATGAGTTGACTTTCAGTTTTTAAGAACTGTTTTTGCAAGTGGTAAAGTGGGATTATTGAATAAAAACCAAAATAAAAGCACATTATGGTCACTTGTAGCCTTTGATGATTACATTTGTATGGACAAAGTCTCAGTACTTCATCTGATTGTAGTTTTAAATTGGATTTGCAATGGATGTTGAGTTTTTTTTTTCCCATCAAGGGCACTGTATAGAAGATTTCCACAGTGTGCTTGATAGAAAATGCACACAATATCCAACGCAATTGCTGGGATTTCAAATGCTAAAATTGGGAAATATGCAATAAAATATTATACAGGACTAAAATTACTTGTTTAAGAGACCCATTTAGAAGTATCATTAAACCACATTTCTCATTCAGATTAATCCAAGCAACTCCTCGGGTTATTGGCTCGTTTACCTTCTTTCACTTTCAGACTTTTCGATGCAGGCGACTCCGGCACCACTTGTTTAATAAAGATCCCCTCTCTCCCTCCTCCACCGTAAACCAGACCCTCCGCACATCCGTCTTTGGCTGTTTTCACAATCACCTCCGACTCGGGGCTGTGAGCCTCCTGCCAACACGTCAAAGCAGAGAGGAAGAAAAATTAAACCTTTAGCTGCCATATCCTTCACGGATACAGTACGGAGAGGCGACGGTGGGAATGTCTCACCTTTAGTTTGCTCATCTTTGGAGTCGAGCGCTTCTCAAACATGGACCCAAGCCCAGACTTTTTAGTTTTCTTTCCACTCCCGCTTTTGTGGTCATGCTCTGCTTCACACTGAAAGGAAAAGAGGAATCTTTGTGTTACTACGTATAATACTGTAGTGCACACATTCATGCAGGAACCAGCCACGTTCTGCTCATAAAAAAACATCTACAATTTAAAAAGATTTCAACTTTCATCAGAAGGATGTCAGCACACAGCCAAAAACCCAACATATGTCCACATATCTCAGTCTGAGATCGAAATCAATTGATGTTTGTTTGGAGCTGCGTATAGTGAAAGCGTTTAGAGGTAAAAGAAATGGAGTTGAGGGTGATAATTAAATAACCTCAGCCTTGATTAGAGCGAATTGAGTAATGCGAGGAAGCAAATTACTAAATGGATGAAACAGTTTATCAAAACTTTCCTCCCACTGTTAAGCAGGCTTCGTCTTACTACAACAGGCGATAAATGGATTTGTCCCATCCAAAATGTCGTTTTAAAGGTGCTGACAATGACGTGAAGACTTTTTCTTTGAAGTAGTAAATAGAAAACCTAGTCTAACACAGTTTTGGGTATTGAAGAATACAAGCTGTAGGGTTTTTTTTGTTTTTTTTTTTGTATTTCCACTAATGGCAAATGTTGAAAAATTCATGTGAACACTGTCCAGTAACAGCCTCCTTGACTTTCGCTTCCCTGTTTGAGCTGTTTGAGCCATTAAAGACGTTCCTCATGCTTTCATTTTGGGACATACATAGCGCTGTGTGACTGTAAATGAGGCCAACTGGTCACAAGCTTATTTCTAACTTCATTTGTCTGCAGCCCGAACAAAATAGACTGTGGAATCACAAATAGACTATGGAGTTACACAGTGTGTTTACATGCAGTGAAGTAACCAGGTCATGTAATCATTTTCAGTCTGAAGTAACCTAATTTCTGAAATGTCATGTTAAAAAGCTGAGCTGAGGGATTATAAGACACGCAGTAGTTCCTGCTGCATGTTTATATTAGAAATGCATGTAAGCAGGTTCCCTGATCGATGGTCTTAACCTGCTTCTCCCTGTGTCTTGTGTAACTTGGCGATAGGTCGGTACCTCTTTGTCACTGTCGGTGTATTTTTCAGTTTCAGGGAACTCCTCGACGGGGGACGATCCTTGAGGTCGCGGTCGCTCCCCCTCTGTGAACTGAGACGGTTCGTCACATGTCTGCGTGGGAGCAAAGAGGTCAGCCGGCACAAAAGCACAACAGTTATCATGTCTGTCTTTTTAAGTCGGACAGTTTTTATTGCATAAACAGCGTCCTAGCCACCTAAAAAAATGTTCAAACCTCCAGCATGAACAATAAAGGTAAGCAGAAAACTGGATCGGAAAGAGTGTGATAACACCTTGAAGAGCCAAAGGCAGCGCTGACTGGGTGTTTAGCTCTTTGGCATTTAATAATTGGCACATTGGTTTGTTTTTCAGCAATGTTAGCCAGTCTGTCAGTCCAACACTGACTGAGCAAAATATCTAAAAAATAATATTCCTTTAAACTCAGGTGATACCCAGAGGATTAATCCTGAAGACTTTGGGGATTTCCTGAATTTCATTGCTAAAATAACATGCTAGTTATGTTAGCGTATCATGTTAGCTAATTAAGATGTTAACTGCATGTTTTAACATTCTAACTTTAGAGCTTTTTCACAATAAATTAGCGTTGTCGCTTTTGAAATATTTAAGTAACCAAACACAATAGCTGAGATTGCTTTCCAACCTTTTTCGCAATCAACTAATATAGAGGAGCAAATATCAATACTCCATAAAATTTTAACCCTTTAAGAAACTACTCTGGTGATTTTTTTCTGGATTAAAACCTTTTAAATACTTATTTAAAACCTATAGCTTCTAAAATGTGCAGGGAATTCCAGTTTATGTGTGAGCAAAGGTTATAAACAACGGAAATAAAACTCAAGCGTGAAAACACAATATCAAAATAATACACATAATAAAGTAATAAAACATAAAAAAAGCATAAAATCCAATTCAAACAACAGTGGATTTATGGAAACAGGTGTTAAGAAACAGCTAAAATTGGTGATAAAAATGGTTGAATACTGGAGGTTTTAAAGTTTTTTTTTTTGACTGAAGTTGAGACACAAACTGATGAAGTGAGTCATAAAATTAAACATTAATTTCACTGTCGGTCTCGGTTACGTCACTCACTGAGTCGTCCTCTGTGGCGGCTTCTGGTCCTCGCAGCCTTCGCCCAGCTCCTGTTCAGACACAAAAGAAAACCCGCATAAAAAAAACAAAATGACATCCGATAGGAAGTCTGTGAAATGAACTTTTTGATTCCGTTTTAGAGCTTTGTTCCACTATGTTCCAAAAGGCACAGTTAAGTAACTTTATACTTCAAATACTAAACAGAAAATTGAATTAGCTCGTTTTAGCACAGTCGACTTAAAGCAGCTGTGTGGCGTTGCTTTTTAAAAATCACTTGCACATTCATAAATACGGCAAATAAGATGAATTCGACAAGATTTTTCGACATTGTATTTGTAGGAAAGTTTGAATTTTTACAGAAGCTACACGCTGCTGTTTACCAGCAAGCCGAGACTCCCGCCCAGTCTGACTCCAGCCAGTTGTTTTGAGGCTCAGAGAGACACCGGAGCCGATGATGAGACTATTTAGAGTTTCTTCCTGGCAATAATTCCCCCAGAGACCCTCCTTTGTCTGTTAAGTGATCCACTGCATTGATCCACAGATGAGGCTCCGCAGCCTCTCAGCTCGGCCCCTCAAGGTTGCCGAAAAGGGAAAGTCTGACTCCAGGATGAATCCGATTAGTCAAGTTATTACCTGCTCTGATACATAACCTCTGTTTAATTTGATTCCATTTTGAACCACCCTTTTGTTCGGGACATTTTGAGAAATCCGCCGTGTCGGGATGTCGTTTAAGCAACAGTTCTAATGTTTCGGATTTAAAAAATAGCAAAGTTGATCGATTAGAGTTAAATAAGTCTTGAAGAGAGGAGAAATGGATTTACACAGTCCTGAATAATGAACATTTTCCCATTTTCTGTGCTTTTTAAGCCTCGTTGGCTCACAAATATTAGATTACCGAAGCTCCTCAAATCAAGAAATTAAAGGGAATCAACACCCGCATTGTATAATGTTTGTATTACCATGTTTGTATTAAATGCTGGATTTAGTTAGGTTAATAAGTGACCAAATTGTACAAAAAAAAATATGCATAAATCTTAATTAAAACAGGCCAAACTGTCTTCAGGTCTTTCAGGCGGCAAGTGCAAATAATTGGTCTCTTTCAAAACCTGATAAATTCAGACTTTTACTCCATATCATCAAGAAATCCACAAAGATGTCCTTTTAACAAAGCCGGACAGGGATTTACACAGTCCTGAATAATGAACATTTTCCCATTTTCTGTGCTCTTTAAGCCTTGTTGGCTCACAAATATTATCAGGAGCCACTGATCAACAGATGTTATACAGACTGTATATGTTAGTATTGAATAAATGCAGTTACGCTTCATTTGCAGAATAAAATTACTTCCATAACATTTTTTGTCTTTAAACAGTTGGTTAATCTTTTCATATTGAGTGATAGCTGATAAGTTGTAGACTAAGATTGCAATCCTACTGAAGATAATAAGTGACCAAATTGTACAAAAAAAGCAGCATAAATCTTCATTAAAACAGGCCAAACTGTCTTCACGTCTTGCAGGCTGCAAGTATAAATAATTGGTCTCTTTCAAAACCGGATAAATTTAGACTTTTACTCCATATCATCAAGAAATCCACAAAGACGTCCTTTTAATAAAAGACTCACAATCCTTTTTTCTATATGCTCCCTTCTCCACTTCATTGTATTTTATTTTTCTAAAGCGTGCTTGAGAGTCTTAATAAGTGCTTCATGAGTATTATGTATTATTATTACTATTATTTTATGATTTAGTAGAGCATCATGCATGCACAGTATTGGACGACTTCTACTGCAGCACCATATAGTTTCTCAACTATCCACCCCGCTGACACTCCACCCACTGCCTTACAGTAATGTATGTCATGTGAAGAGCTCTTATAGCCTGTATAAGTGCATTAGAAGGCAGTTAAGACGAGAGTGACGGCTTTAAAAACCTCCTACAGCATCAGGGTGTGCGTTTACTGCTTCAAGGTTGACAATTCAAGACAGCTCAAGAAACTAGCTCTGCAGATAAACAGGAGTATAATTCACGACCTGCACCGTTGTCATAGATTCACATCCCTCTGACACCGAGTATTAGAAATCACACCAGAGAACATTTATGTGGAGGAGAGTCACCCTGTGAACCCACACTGAGTGAAGACACCGCAGTCTAGACGTGTTGTGAAACACAATAATCAGAAAAGTCCTTACGGCTGCCCACACCATTTAGTCAAGTGTCGAGTCAAGTGTAGGGATCTTTATCATGCAGTCGTCACCGTCTTTCTCTTTCAGACCAGGTATGACTTGAATAAAACATATCAGACTTTTTCATTTTATCTCATTTTATGGACTCAAACAGCTCACCTACCTGCTGCTGCTGCTGCTGCTGTGGGTTTAACTCCTGAAAATAAACCGAGGTGTCAGTAAGACGTTGTCCAAACTGCCCTGAAGCCTTCCTGGTGTGAGTCTGACTGATAAAGTGATTTGTCGAGCCTCACATTGGACAAAGAAGGCGGGACACTTTTAGGTTGCAGCAATACCTTGTCTTAAGTCGTGTCACTCCCAAACTGAGTTAAGTGTTCCATGAAGGTCCTCGTGGTGCCTGTGGTTTACAGAGTTAACTCTTTGCAACACGTGTTACTCTGAATAATTTTAAAGTTGTCTCTCACTAATCACTTTAGTTCATCCATTAAATCAGTTTTTCATCAGTACTTCTTGCGGTTCCATTCAACAACTTTTTCAAATCTTAAGATCAACATTCTTTCCAGTTTATGGAGTTATTACAAGACTCACAGGCTTTGACATTAAGTGAGTGACTGTAATTTACAAAATGAAATCTTGTGCTTTCGATTGCCAATTTAAGCGCATTTCAAAGTGATCAGACGAGAGTTAATGAATAGATTCTGGGGAACATTAATGAGTCTTTTTCCCGTTTCCCAATTAAAAATCTAAGCACAAAAACACATTGAAAATCCCTTAATCGCTTGAGCTTCTGTAAACAAACCCATGCATCCTTATTACTTGGTCGATGTCCCACTTTTGCCCAAACTGAAATATCTCTCTGTGTGTTGGGTCTTGATTAAATTGTGTGCAGATGCTTGTGTTGCCCTCAGAATTAATTCTAAAAGTTTTAGTCAGACCTGAGGTAGGGCCATCATCAGGTTTGTTCAGTACTTTGTTTGTACTGATAGCATCAGCTGTACTTGGCGTTTAGGACTAATTAGCCAATGCTAGCATACAAACAGGCTAAACCGAGACAGCCTGCCACACATCACCATGGTATTGTTATTATGAGCATGTTACCACACTACTAGCCTGCATGTAGCCTCACATGCTAGCACAGCTGGAAACTTGTGTCTTGTTAATATAAAGCTACCGAAGGAAAACATCTGTGGCAAGGGATGTCAGTGATGAACTGTTAATCAATTAGTTGCCATTAGTAATATAATCAAATAAAGATTTATGAACTGATAAGGCAGAAGATAAAGAAAGTTTACGGTAGTACCTGGTTGCTCCACCAGGTGGAGCCTCTTGTTGTTTAATGAGGTGGAGCTACAGGTGTGTTTGCTGCACCTCCCTGCTGTCTTAACTGTTGCAGTCGTGTTTATAAACTCTGCAGCATCAAGGTGTAAAACGAGGTTGTCTGATTTAACTAGCTACCTGAGGCTAATGCTAACAATGCTAAGCTAGGATTTTAAACATGCTAACACAGGCCGGAAGCTGAGAGTTCAGGAGCAGCAGGACTCTGATTACATGCTTCCAACGACATTAAAGTGAGGAAAGTGTGTCGGCGACGCTTTGCTCTGACAGATTTTTTGGACTGATAAAGTTGCTGCGACTTTTCCAGCAGCTGAATTAACTACAGTGCATCACACAATATTTTTAATGAAGTGATTTTTTTTTACTATATTAGACTTTTAATTCATGTAACATGGTGTTTACTTCATCTGTGCTTCAAATTCCTAAAGTAACTGAGCTAGCTTGGCAGCGAACATTAAGTGTCGTGGTTGAAGAGTTGTTTTATTAACATATGGAAAAATTTCTGTCGTATTTCGTTCATTTCAACAGTTAATTACTTTTAACTTTATTTAATTGTTAACATGGCTGACTGGATGTTGCATACGAGGTGAAGGTGATACTATAAATTACTGTTGATACATCAGCATCCTCTTGAAATCTAAACGAGCCAAAGTCCCTGTAGAGACGTGATATGTTCCATCCATCACGACCAGATTAGTCGGAGGGAAGATACTTAGAAACAGTGAGTAGTTTGAAACTGAATTAGTGAAAGGAAAAGTGCAGAGATACTGACTTTCAAGTTTAGCCACTGTGGCGTGAAACCTTTCCTTCGGTATTCTGAGTGTTTACAGCTGCACCTCTCCTCCCACTGCTCGATTATCATTATTATATAAATGTACACTTGGGCTTGAGCAGCTGGTACATATCGATGTTCAGTGAAGTCTTCAGGAAGCTAAACCGAACTAAATTAGATTCATTAAACGGAGCGCCGGGATCCCTGAAGGCGGAGAGGCGTCATGTGCCGTGTCTCAAGTAAACAGCCGCCGTAGTACGAATGAGCGATGGTGTCGGTGTGTGCTCTGAGCTTTACGGGGGATCGCAACCCTGCTCCAACCGACTGCCTGATTGATTCCTCGCCGCTTGTCGCAGGCGGATGTCCACTATTCCCACCACCGCCGCACATGTACAAAAAACCTCCCTTCTCAAATATTTGCCATGTGGGCGCTGCAGAGGCCTCGATAACAACTCTCACTTTAAAGTGAAAATCACAGAGCAGAGCTGTTCGCTTGTTTGACTTGTCGTAGATCCGACACTGTAAATATTCATAAAGCTGCGGGCGAAAGTTCCAGTTCGACTTTGATTGCAGCGCTCTGCGGATATCTAAACAAAAAGCGGTGGGAGTCTGTTGCGGTGCAGATCCTGCATGATTCATATTTGGGTGCAACTGCAGCCCTGGATTTGGGCGTGGTTCATCCCTCGGCACTAATATAACAGGGGAAGAGGCTCATAAAGCTGACCGGCTTCAAACGAGACACCCAACGTCTCGTACGCTCACTTGATTGAAATGATAAGACGTTACGAACAACAACTGACATCCGAGAAAAACAAATTCTTCATTTGGCTGAAAATCTTCACTGTATCGTGTCCTCAGCTCATCTCTTACATAATCGCCTTCTGCTCCAGTTTGTGTTTCCTGTTTGAAAAGCACCTGGAAGCCTCCCTGAAGCCTCCCCTCCTCACTAAACTAATATAATACAGCTCATTATCTGTGCTCTTGGATTTGGATTCTGCTCCTTTTTTTTTTTTGTGCAAAAGACAGACACAAGCTCCTTTCACTCCGTTCGCTCGGATCCAAATTATAATGAGATTTGAGTGCAGGGAAAGAAAAAAAACAGAATTAGATTTTCTGCATGGCTTATATGAACATGAGACTGAAAAAAAGCGCATGTTTTCAATCTATTAATCTGCTGCGAACTTACAGGGAGTTTCATCACAGCTCTGGAATTTGCATCTTAATCTGCTTGTGCTCCAACGACGTACAGTTAGACAACAAAACCACAGAACAGTCTGAAGTTAGCAAGCCGCAAACATGAACTTTACGAGCACTGCTTTGTGTTTGTTTTGATTCAAACAGGCCTGATGGACACATTAGCGAGAGTGCAGTGTTTGCCAAATGAGCTGATTAATGCACAAAAAATGCTCACTGATGATTTTTGTTTTTGTCAAATTCGCTTGTGCTTTTACGTATTTATTCCATATAAATCAGAGTTCCTCAAGTCGGCTTTTAGGTGTGTGTAATTGTCCTGTAACGACCTAAAATAGTCTCTGAAAAACAGCGCGTGATTAATTATAGATGCTAATGTAGGACCACGGAAAGATCAACCCCCGAGCACCTGCACTCTGTTTTTATTGTTGTCTTGTGACAACATACATATTTCATTCACGTCGGACCGGTCGATAGGAAACATACAAAATATAAAAATGCTTCAGTTGCCATGACCTGACTTAAACTCTTATCAGTGCAGGACGTTCTCTAAAATGTTTGATCGTGGCGCCTTTATTATTAAATTTGCTGGCTTGGATCAAGATAAAAACTGGTTTCCTGAAACATATTTACGACCCCTTTCGCTGCTTTCTGATCCCTTTGTAGATTAAAGACATCATTACGTAATTGAAAACATAATTAACACACAAGTTAATTAGGAAAATAACCGTTAATTGCAGCTCCAAGTTTAACATTTCCTGTTTCTTCTAAAGTGGATTTCTCTCTGTGTAATTCTTTAAATTATAGTAGACATTTTTAGCATCAAAAAGAATCTGTGGATTGTTGAGAATCTCGAGGCAGTAATACGTAAACAGCACACAAAGTAGAAGCAACCCCAGCTGAACTTTTGTTGTTAGTAGCCTCGGTTTGGTTAAACCTTCGCCAGTCATTAAGAAACACAAGCAAACGTTAAAACAAATGCACTTTTCACTAGAGGAGTGACAGCAGACGATTCAAGTGGAATAGAATTGATTTTAGAGCCCGAGACTGATGGTCTGTAATGGATCAGGACTGCTTTCTTTAGGCTCCACTGAGGAGCAGATCAGCCTCCCTGTCTGGATCGCTTCCTCGTCTCTGTCTCTCGTTTGTTCTCTCTCTGACCTTGAAGCCTCTCGGAGCAACACGAACCCTCTCCTCATCTCCAGGCAGACTTAATTAAAAGTAGCAGCCAGCAGGCAAATGAGGAGAATTGTGTGGAAACGAAAAAAAAAAAAAGTCAACCCTCGGTCTCACCGCGGGCAATAAACAACCACACCGCGAGGCACAAGATAAACTCCAGGAAGCCCGTTTATCACTTTCTCATCCACCTGTCATGGTGGTGATGCAGCGATTTCTTAAGCTCGTTTTAGCGCTTCACTTGTCTGCTCCTGGTAAAAGCATCGACTCCATTAGCGCTTATTAGGTACATCTTAAAAGGAGGAATGATTGTCATTTCTGAGGTAGATTAAAGTGCTGCTGCTCCAGAAAACGTCCACTTAAAGAAACAGAATTTATAAAAGTGCAAATGAGATCTACGGGATTTTAAACCAAGTGCTGTCTGCCAAAGATATCTCTGTTATAAACTTTGTCATTACGATGAGTGACGCATCTGTTTTTTTTCATCAGCATGATTTGAAACTTACTCGCTGATATCACTTGAACATAACTATGGTTTATACTGACATACGTGTGTTTTTTTTAAAATAGAAATTAGATGTGTTAAAATCATCTACATCCAGTTTAATGTCACCAGAATTTCCACCAGATATCTGAATTATCTGAACCTTAAACTTTCTAACTGTGACAAAGATCAACATGTGATAAAAGAGAAACGCCACGAGCGAGCGTCAGCATCCTCAACTTTATATAAGACTGCTTACAGGTAGCAGCTCTTCCCTCTCACGTCGTATTTTTGTTCTGCCAGCATCGGTATAAGCTAATTTTGGAAGCATTTTTTCCTCCCCACCCCACGGACAAGTTCTCACTCTGCTACTATTTTCTGCAACCCCCTGTTTTCTGCTTTGCTGCGCTGCCACAGCAACCGGCGGCTGCGTTTGCCTTTCAGCCCGAGCTTCAAACGCACAGCTGGAAGGGGGAAAGAGGAGACGTTGCAGCGCCGCCTGACATCCTCGATGATGCCATCTTCAAACACTCCCCTGCGCTCTGCAGACACACCCAGCTGCTCTACTGCAGGTCAGCGGCACGACTCAGCATCAGCACCAGCCGCCTTCACGCTCTCTCCCCGTCGCCACAAAACACACACTAATCTCTCCCACTGCACTACTGAACCCTGCTGCTGAGTCGGTGAATTGCTCAGGGGGGTGGAGGAGGAGGGGAGCGGCGCAGCACAAAGTCGCAGAGAGAGGGAAAATAAAAACAGAGAAAGAGAGCAGAGAGAGTGATGCCCACCCGTCCCTGAGGAGGCAGCGTGCCAGTTGGGGAAGGCCAGGTGGAAGCAGTCGCACATGATGGCGGCGGCGTTGGCGGCGTTGGCGGCGGCGGCGGCGGCGGCAGAAGAGACGAGGTCCTGGGCTGGGCAGGAGACTGATGGATGGAGGGTTAGGCTGCTTCTTCCCCCTCTGCCTCGTCCTCTATCAGCCTGATGTGGAGGTCGGACGGTCGCAGCGCAGCCAGGAGAGAGAAATCACCAGAGAGAGCAGAGAGCGAGCTGCCTTCTCAGAGCCGACTGAAGGAAACTCCCTCGCCCGTCCCGTAAACATGGACCTCCAGCGCAGCACGCTAACTTAATTATGGGAGGAGCTGCCCCCCTCCTCCTCCTCCTCCTCTTCCTCCTCATCCTCCTCCTCCTCCTTGACAAGTACAGACTCATCCCTCAGTTCTTCCCCTCTTCTTCTGCTTCAACTCTCTCCTGGTCAGTCTCATCGATTAATCTGACGAGCAGGATGTCGGCTACACACTGTACCGACATGGACCCATAACTCAATTTGTACACACTTTAAGCCCGTTCACTGTGGACAAGAAACTGTGTAAACTGAAGCAGCAACATGTCAGACCCGGTCGGGATGGCCTGCACACTGATAAACTTCAGCGAGCGATCAGAAGAGCTATTCACAGATTTTTTTTTTCAGTGATAAATTCGATTTAGCACATCAGGTCATACTCTGGTAATGCTCAGTCCAGTCATCCCGATTTAGACGATGACCACAAAAATCACAAATAGAAACTTTTTGATCAAACGGCAAAGAAACTGAAGTAGTCGTGGAAAAACTGTGTGTCATTAATTATAGACACTAACGAAGGATCAGAGAAAGAATCAAACCCGGAGAAAAAAAAGCTGCTTAAGTGGTTAAAATACATTTAAAAAACTAAAAAACAAAACTTGTAGGACAGCATGTCTAGAGCCCTTTGTTTTGAGACAGCGCCACCTACCGCAAAAAATTATCGCTAAATAATAATAATAATTGATCAGATTTATATAGTACTTTTCTGGACACTCAAAGACGCTTTACACTGTCAATTATTCATTCACACACATTCATTCCGGTGGTGGTAGCTACGATTGTAGCCACAGCTGCCCTGGGGCAGACTGACAGAGGCGTGGCTGCCATTCTGCGCCTACGGCCCCTCCGACCACCACCTCAAACAATCCATTTATACGCATTCACACCAGGCAAGTTGGGTGAAGTGTCTTGCCTAAGGACACAACGACCATGAAACAGGTTACCTTCCGATCATTGACCGACTCGCTCTACCACCTGAGCCACAGCCGCCCTGTACGGTTTACCGTTTTAAAGGCTAATTCTACCCAAATACTACTTATAATTCCAAAGTTTATTTACGTAGTATTCCTACTTGACGTCCAAGTACTTATACTTTTGTTATTCCACACAAAACTTTAGTTGTAGTTTTATGAAAATATGTTTGTTCCACCTTAATAGTAAGTTATGGATTTAAGATGTATTTTCAAGAGAAAATACCAATTAAGATTTTAAAGGTTTATCCACCCAAAATGTACTTTCTCAACAATAAGTTATGGTTTAAAATGTTTATTCAAGAGAAAATACCAATTTATGTCCAAATACTGAGGATTTTTAAAGGTTATTCCACTGAAAACCCTACTTTTTGTAATTTAGCTTGGTTGCTTAGAGCTGCATTTGGACTAATTAGCATAATTAGCTTATTATCAGCTAAAATATCAATGGAATCATACGCTGTGGCCTTTGTGGTCACTAGATCCCAAACAGGAAGGTTTGAGGGTTTGGATAGAGGCCTGAAACACAAGGACAGCTCTTGGGGTAGGTGTATATGTATTTTTTTTTATACAATAATCAATATAATCATCAACACCCCACCTCGCCTACAAAGAAATACAATTAAATGACTCCTCTGACCGAATCCACAGCTCCTGACTAGGACATTATTGCGCATTAAAGCATGTAGCATTGATAAATCTGACAAACTTGAAGAGTTTTTACATTTGATGCCACCTCCTGATGGACAGCGAATGACGCACTGATCATTCCGACATGCTTTTATCGTCTTCATCAGTTTAATGAATGTGCTCGCTGTAACTAATTATCATCACTGGACGCACCAAAATGGTTCCATTACATTAAGCTAATCAGAAACCGAGGAGTTTTCCGTACCTAGTGACAGTTTGTTTCTCACACAAGTTGACGACACAGTAAACTGGGCTTCCCAACTCAAGACATCAGAACTTGGTTCACATTCAGTACTAACTCTGTTACCGTCATCCGTCTTGGCCAGAAATGAAGCCTTTGCAAGTCCTAGAAGTGCGATTCTACCACTGTGGTTCAGAAAATAGAAATCCGGTGCTGCAGAGACACTCCACTGGTCTCTTTTGTTATTTTGCCTCAGATATTTGATTGTTTTGCACAACGTACAGACTCAGTTCATGCAGGGCTGCAACGATTAAGTGGTTAATTGATTGATAAACAGAAAAATAACAATGACTGAGTGGCCTCTAACTGATTAAAAGTCCTCCATTAATGAGAAATAATCTCTGATTGCAGCATCTAAAATGTTTATTATGGTGCGTTTAATATTGGATTGGATGTTATTCGCAGGCTTGGATGCGGATATAAACGCTACAGTGGTTTCTACAAACACACTTTTGAACTACTTTCTAAACTAATTACCATGTAGTCGGAAACATAATTAGTACATAAATTACTGTAGAACAACCACTATTAATCTATCGATCTATCAACACAGGATTTCTGCCTCTTCTATATTGGAGTTCTCTGTGTGTATTTCTTTGGGTTGTATTGGAAAACGTCAGCTGTGAAGAAGTCTCTGAATTGTTGCTGCTGATGCGCTGACAACGAAGCCGGATTTGTTTTGATCGCTGACATATTTCAGCTGTCAAACAGATTCTACGTCTGTGAAATAATCCAATTTCTGACTGCAGTTTTAGACACAACGAAGGAGCACGTTGGGCGGTAAAAAATAAAATAGAATAATTTTTGTTGATCCCCCATTGAGGGGAAATGTACACGCCACAGCAGCATCCAAAAATATAGAAAGAAATTACAAGTAAATAACAATAATTAAGTAATATGCATCCTGGTGTCAGTACACAGCAGGTCCAAGGCCCCACCGTCTCGGGTTGGGCAGTCCACATACTGGCTGAATGTGGGGACAGTGCTAGAGAGAGATGTATGGTTAAAGTCTCCTGAGATGATGATCAGAGACTGAGGGTGTGATGTTTGCAGCTGGGACACTGAACTATGGATGAGTTCACAGGCTGCAACAGCGTCAGCCGAGGGGGGGATGTAAACTGCAACCTCCAGGACGTGGAAAACTCCCTCGGCAGGTAAAACGGCCGCAAACCAACCGCCAGCAGTCCAACATCCTTCGTGCAGCGCCGCTCTTTAACGCTAACGTGCCCAGCATTACACCATCTCTCATTCACATACATGGCCAGTCCCCAGCCTTTCTTCTCACCACTCTCCCTCCAGCTCTGGTCCGCTCTGACCAGATGAAATCCGTCCAAAGTTACGAGCGAGTGTGTACCTCATCATCTTTTAGGCTTTTGTTTACGTCAGAACCCCGAACAAGCTCTTTTTTAGGTGCATTTTATGATTCAAATGTTGTGGCTGGGACATTATCTTCTACTAAACACATTAGACTCTCAAAACATCTTGATCAAAGCTTCTTTTAACCCTTAACTTAACCCTTAACTCAAGATGGAGCTGATGCAGAAGGACTTTTCTTACGTGCACCCATATATATCAGTATTAGTTCGGTTCTCAGTCCTCTGAATAATCTCCATCATTACATTCTCACTTCTCCCATTGTACATTTCAGCATATCTATTATTAAATATTAAATATACAGTGTTTAACAAGTGTATTAGACCACCTGTCTAATTCATTAAGCATCCAGCATCATGAAGTGCTTTAATTTGCTCTCCATGTTTTACCATTTTGAACAGGAATGAGGAATTTATCACTGAATTCACCTTTTCATACCCAAATCTGAGCCACTGGGCTTCTCTGAAATGAGTCAAGCAGAGCATGCAACCACTAAAACTACATATTTCTGTTCAGGAATGCAAGTAAATAACTCTTAATCAATAAATAATAATGTGCTTTGCTATTTTTTTATTTTTTTTTTTGTAAAACAGTAACGATAATAATTATATTTTAGCATTAATAATATCATTTCAGTCAAAGAGCTTCTGCATACTGGTGTATTAACCATTACAGAAACATAAGACATGATTACCAGTGGTGTTAATTTAGGCCAGCTGTGGCATAAACCTGACATCAGGTGGTGGTCTGATACATGTGATAAGCACTGTATGTAACACGTAGTTAAGATGGCCTGTTTGGACAAATAATTGAGTGTAATTTCCGTGAATTCTGTCATAAAGGAGCTGGTGTAATGCAGCCAAGACAGAAGTAATGGAGTGTTTGTGTGAAATATAACCTGAGCTAACACAGACTCGTTAGTTTTACTGTACGCAGAGCCACAAAACAAAAAGTCCTGTCGCGGTTTAGCGCTGCTTCAGGGCTAAATATTCCCTGAACAGACTGTGTGGGCTGCTTGTCCTGGAATCCTCAGGCTACAAACTCATTAGGCCTCATTCCTGAAACATGTAAGTTCAAATGAAAACAGGGATCCCTTCTGTGACTCAGATTAAGAGCTTTTTAAAACCGCAATTACAACATGGCTGCTGTCCAAAAATAAAAAATAAAAAAAGGTTGAACCTCGGTAGGAGAGCGTATGTTTTATGTCCAAACGCTGCTCTACATGCTCGACTTCCCTCCGAATTTTGCCCACATCCCCTCCGTCAGCATCAGGCTTTATGAGAACATCTATTCTACCTGCCTGCTGGCCGACATCCCACAAACGTGCACCAGCGATGGCTGCACTCACTCCCTTCCCCAGACGCTTTTGTGTTTCAGCGCTAAGTGACGTTTGGCGAAGCTCGCGGTGCATTAGCCTCGTTGGAACGGGCTCTCGGATCGATGGAGCAGAAATGCAAGGCAGCGTTATCGTGTGACTGGCAGCGCAGGTATCAGGTAGCCTGTGTTGTCCAGGGCCTCGTGTCGAATCTGATTAGCAGGCCAGCTTTACACGTGTGTGCGAAATTACAGGAAAAGAGCATCTAAACAGGGAGGAAA